TCAAATGTCAATGGTGCTAAGATACGTGGACGATAATCAGATCAGAAAAGATTTTATAACATTTTGGTATAAATCCCTCTGTAGTTGAATAAGAGATTTCACGTAATTTACCAATTGATATTTTAATTATTTTTATTTTAAAATATAAATTCTAGCCTCTCATTTAATAATAAATCCAACACCATGTAGGTATTAAAAACTTCAATGACAAGGTGAACAAGTATGTTTTTGCAACAATTTATTTGTAATTATATTGGATTGCAGGGACTACATACATTTGAGTCATCCAATATGTGAACTAGGTAAAAATACAGTACTTTTCCAGAATTTAATGAATGTATGAATAAGTACGGAATTTTTTAAAACAAAATATGCGATGAAATTATTTAGGGTATAGGTACTGTACTGAAATTCTCATTTAATTACCTGTCAAATTGTATTATTCACATTATTATTAATTGACTGGTTAAATAAATGAGTATATATTCAAGTTACGACTATTCTAAGAATTAATCAACATATACCGGTTGGAAGACGTTAGTGGAAAATCCAAGCTTGCATCAAACATGTTAGGAATATTAATATTTTAAATAACTTTTGCTCTAATGTTATTTAAAAACTATTGTGTAACTGTTTTAAATCAAAACATTTAAAAAAGTAGTACACTAATTAATAGTAAAATCAGACCCAATCAACTATAACAATGTATTGAAACCTTGTGGAAATTTTCAATATGTGTCTTTAATTTTCTAAACAAAAAAAAACCTAATTCACCCGAAGAAAATTGGTATTAAAATACTAATAAGTGATACACATAAGATGTTTCCACAATAGTCCATAATCGAAAAAGACAGAGATACGAGTTATGTCCGTGATAAGTATGCGTGGCTCCGAATTAAATCCAAACTATCATTTTTAAGTTAAGAAACTGCGGAAATCAGAAAACATTCTGGAAAGAATTACGTAATCTAGATATTTACTCTAAATCTAAGAACCATTCCTTGCCAATAGAACTAAAAAATCCAAAAGAAATTAACGAATATTTTGTAAATGCATCGAAATCTGATTTTCCTGTGAATAATTTAACAGTCGACTATTACAAAAATAATATATTGCCTAATATTATTTCTTTTAATTTTTCATTAACGAGCGAACTAGAAATCTATAGAACTATATTATCGTTTAAGTCCAAAGCTGTTGGTCCAGATCTTTTAAGTGTTAACATGTTACTGTACGCTTGTCCATTTATTTTAAAATATATTTGTCACATTTTTAACACTTGCATTACCCATAATGTTTTTCCGTCTACCTGGAAAAAATCTCTAATCCATCCACTGCCCAAAGTTAGTAAACCGTTAGATTATAAATCACTTCGCCCTATTAGTATATTATGTGCTCTTGCAAAGTGCTTCGAAAAAATTGTTCATGTACAAATAAGTTTACACATTAATAATTATACTATTATACCTCAACAGCAATCAGGATTTAGACCTAAACATAGTTGCACTACCGCTTTATTAAACATTACTGATGATATTCTTAGGGCAATTGATCGTAATGAATTAACAGTACTTGTACTATTAGATTTTACCAAAGCTTTTGATAGAATAAAACATGAACTGTTGCTAGCCATATTCCATTACATTGGTTTCTCCGATAATGCAGTTGAGCTGTTGAGCAGCTATCTTCAGGGAAGGGAGCAAGCTGTTGTTGTGGACAAAATAGTATCACAATATTTGACAGTTGAGAATGGTGTTCCCCAGGGCTCTGTCTTGGGACCGATCTTTTTCAATATCTACAGTTTTGAATTTTACAAATCACTGAGGTACTCCACTAGCCATTTCTATGCCGACGATACTCAACTTTATATTTCTTTCCCTGAAAATAATACTCAATTAGCAATAAAACAGTTAAATAGGGATCTCCAATCATTAGCGGATACTGCCAGACATTTTTGCCTCAGTCTTAACCCATCGAAATCCCAAGTTCTCTTCTTTGGAAGAAAAAATCCGCGAAAACGAACTCTGGACTCTGTTATCTTAAACATAAATGATACACCTATACCATTAGTTGAAAGTTCAAAAAATCTTGGTTTGATTCTGGACACCTCTTTGCATTATACGCAACATGTAAACTTAATTATTAAGAGAGCTTACTGCAACTTAAAGTTAATTTATGCAAATAGGGGACTTTTAGACCGAAAAAGTAAAATTACTCTATGTGAGGCTTTGGTATTTTCACATTTAAATTTTGCCGATGTAGTATATGGTCCAGCACTGCTAAAATGTGATTTGCGAAGACTCCAATTAGTACAGAACTCTTGTGTGCGTTTGATTTCTGGTTTAAAAAGACGCGACCATATCTCTGAAGCTTTAGCTGAGTTAGGGTGGCTAAATATTGAAAAACGAATCTTGTTACATTGTTTTATATTTTATCATAAATTAATTATCTATAAAGAACCATCGTATCTTTTTAACCAAATACAATTTAGATCAGACGTACACCATATCAATGTACGTTTTCGATCTTGCTTGACGCCGCCTATTCACTCTACTTCCCTCTTCGAATCATCCTTTTCGTATAATATAACCAGGCTATACAACAGGTTTCCGAGACATCTTCTTACTTGCTCATTGAGCACTATAAAAAATAAAATAAAAAACTTGCTATTTACTAATGAACTAACATTCTAGACTTGTGCTTTATTTTCGTTTTCTATTTATTATATTATTATTTCTGCGTCATTAACATGGATTAACTTGAATTTCGCTTGTTTTTATCTAGCTTATATTATTATCATTATTATAATTATTTTTAATTAAGTAGTTTAATTAAATAGGTTGAGTGGAAGAGAGGACTTACCCTTGCTTGCAAGGATTAGACCTAACTCTGCCTTTTGGCAAATATTGTATTTTGCTTATCTGTATGTTTTTTTTTTTCTCTGCCAATAAAAGCTTTTATTATTATTATTATTATTATTATTATTATTTAAAAGAAGAAGATGAATTATAAGCTCGATATATTTAGTTTTTCTAATAACAACTTTAGAAATATTTTTTATAGGTCAGTTCTCTTTATTCACCCTTAAAACCAGCTAAAAGAATTACCTACACAGAGAGATTAAAAAAGAATAATTAATTGAAGTTTTTTTTATAATGCGCAATATATCGCTGTACCAATTTTTACTTTCCTATCTGTATACAGATATAAGGAAAGTATAGGAATCATGATTTTTTTCGACCTCGAGTTTTCGACGGATTTTTACGTTTTGAGGTCCCCTGAATCCGTTTTGACTATTTTCGCGATGATGTCTGTGTGTGTGTGTGTGTGTGTCTGTGTGTGTGTGTGTGTGTGTGTGTGTGTGTGTGTGTGTGTGTGTGTGTGTGTGTGTGTGTGTGTGTCTTTATAACGCATAACTCATGAACCGATACACGGAAAAACACCAAATTTCAAACTTAAGCTTTGTTCCAACGTCTAATGAGCTGATTAGATTTTGGGCAGAGTCGGAACATCTGGGGGGGTACTTTATAGGTGGTCATTTTTATATTTTATGGAATATATCTGTTATTTACGTTTGGGGAAGAAAATTCTTCAAATGAAAGTTACTTCTTATTTTATTATCTATAATTTTTGTTATATACAAAATTTTCCTAAAATGGTCCCTATTCGCGAAATTTGACAAAATGTAAAAAAATTTTTTTTTTATAAAAATTGTTCAAACAAAAGTTGTTTGTAATATAATTCTCTATAATTTTTATCCTATAGATAATTTCTCTAAAATGGACCGTATTCGAGATATTTGAGAAAATGTGTAAATTTCGAAATTTGAAGAAAACTCAAAAATGGATAAAGAAAAAAACATTAAATTTTAAACTTAAGTTTTATTTCGGCCTGACGTGAAATGATTAGATTTTGGACAAAGTCGGAACATCTGGGGGGTACTTTATGGGGGGCCGTTTTTATATTTTATGGAATATATCTGTTATTTATGTTTGAAGAAAAAAATTGTTCAAATAAAAGTTACTTCTAATATTATTATCTATAATTTTTGCTTTATGTAAAAATTTCCTGAAATGGTCCGTATTCGAAAAATTTGACAAAATGTGCAAAATTCTGATTTTTATGAAAATTGTTGAAATAAAAGTTGTTTGCAATATCGATCTCTATAATATTTGTTTATACATGATTTTTTTTAAAATGGACCGTAATGGAAAAATTGTAGGAAAAGTGCTAAATTTAAATTTTTCAGTATTTTAATTTTCAATGAATATCTATAGAAAAATGTTTCGCGGTAGATGTATGTGGACAATGTATATATTTAGTTTATCCTCTAAACATTTATAGAGATGCTGCAATAGATTGTACAAAATAACCGGAAAAAGCCTGTAATACCTAGATAGGAAAGTCATGTGTTGGACACATCAGATTTTTGAAATTGTATGTGAAGTTTTTGCATTACACATCAAACTGCGGTCTAGGAATCTCGACAGCCCTGGGGCTCCGCAAAGCCTTTGTGGAGGCTCCACGAAGAAAATAATAATTATAATAAAAAAAGCAGTACTATCGCTAAAAGAGAGGGACTTGGCTTGAGAACCCTTTTTTTAAAATGTGTTTAGGGCTCCGGTAAATATTTCAAATATTTTAGAGGTAGATGGCATTTGTGTATAGAACAAAAATGTCTGGGTTCAAATCGCAGCGACGATATGCTTGTTTTTCAAATCTCCAAGTATTTGTTTTCACTTTTGGGGTTCGGGGATCATCTTAATATTACGTAGAGGGATTTTTAAGATTTGCTTCCGAATTTTCAAATTTCTACAACTTATTTCAGATGATTCTGACCTTTCGGATTTCAATTTGCGATCTACGATAAAATTAAATTCATAATTTTCACTTTTAAAACCGTTTCGCCAAGCCAGTTTTTCACAAATAGCAATCAACGCCACTAGATTAATGAATTAAATTTTAAAGCATCCTTTTATTCAACTATTTCTTTTTTTCAGCAACTTCAAAGCAAATTGACGACGGTATTGAATTTGTTAACCCTAAACAACCGTATGGGGACCAACCAATTGTGGATACAAGCGCAGGCTTTGACGAAGGATCGTTTTCTAATCCGTTTGGAGGACTTTTCGAAAATCTAGAAAGTAAGTAGTTTATTAATTATTAGGAACTGCTTGAACATTTTAGACAAACGCTTGAAACATCAATTTTAATTAAACTAAGAACAACGTCATTCCCATCCCCTTGGTTACTCGAACCAATAGAAATTAAATAGGAAAAGTATTAAGTACAACACCAAAAAAAAAGGTAATTTAATATAGAATTCATCTATATAACTAGTATAAAGTGTGACCCTTCATTTGAAAACTGATTTTATAAATAATTCAAAGCACAATATAAAACATACAAATATTAAACATACTTAACACAACTTTTGCGGAGTTCTAACGTTAAGAAATACTAACTTTCGTTACTAAATTTCGTTAGCCCACTTACCAGTATGAAACCCTTTAACATCCCCTATTTTGTGCGACACTGCCTAAATTTAAATTTTAATTGTAGTTTTGAATTTGACCATGATCTTTACGTAAATAATAATTTATTACTTCTGAAATATATGCTTATCAGTGCGCTTATCGTTAATTGAAAATAAAAATAGATTCTACGCGACATAATTTTCAAAAATGCTTGCAAATTATTTTAAATATTATATAACTTGTATCTTGGATGGAAAAACATCCCACGGACCGTTAGTTAATTAGAGAAATAACAAAAATGGTATGCCATTGTGGGTTGCTATCAAATTATGTAAAATAAGGCTTGATGTTATTAATCTAATCTTCAGTAAATCTATTTTAAAAGAATTCAAAAATAGACACTCTCCAGAGTTGGTTTTACAACAATTGTATTGTGATGTTTGTTTACTTTAAAACAACAGTTTATTTATTAATAATTTATATATATTTCGAATGTCTTTGAATCGTTCACTATTTATATTCACCACTGTCTATCTACTAATTACTATTTATCTTCACTGTCCATATAATAACTAACTCTGATGAATCCTCCATCAATATTTATATACAAATTTAAAAATGGGCGAATGTTCTAGTAAGTTCACATATTCTCTCCAATACACTAGAAACATTATCTCGTTCTTTCTCGAACATCATCGAAAGCACCTTAACCATAGTCGTCCCATAGGTTTGGTCTTAAGGGGTTTAATTATGTATAATAAGCGGACAAGTTGAGCCTCAAATAATACAGAGAGGGACTTGGAGTATTAGAGCATGACTAAATAATGAAATGGCTCACATTACAGTATTTTCAGAAGAAAAAAAAAACTCACGCAATTTCAGTATAATAGTATACAAAGCTTACACTAAAATTAGGAATACAAATGAATTTAAAACATAAAAAATAAAGCACAAAGCCACTCGTATCCGAATTTGAGTTTTCTTTTAAGCCCTAGTAAGCTTATATCAAAAATTTCGAACTCGAACTTGTAGCTTGGGCAAATACGGTTAGAGAATGTTCTTTGCCCACAGTTGATTCAATGGTGTTTAATGTAGAACATAGAAGTGGGTCGTGTTCGCCGAATAGGAGTGAGGAAGGTGATCTTTTCCAAGAGAATGTCACATAAGATTACTCTCCATTGGGTAGTTTAAAAACGAGCAAAAGAAATGATTGTTTCGTATGAAGTATTCTAATATGGAGAAAGCGAATACATTTGACGTACTTTTGTTGCACCTGTTCAATCATGTTGATGTGGCCTGTGTATATCGGCATCCAGGTTACATCACAGTATTTAAGAATGCATCGAAGTAAATAATAATAAAATGTAATACCTACTAGAACAAGGTTGCAACCTATAATGTTTTAGAAACTGTGCTAATCATGGAACAATGTTTTAAGCAATAATATAGTTTGATTTTTACTGCAATCTGTCTTAAAATTCATAATTAAGGATTATTTTAACTTACAAAAGTTACGTCTGCCAGAACAAGGTTGTAACATCAAGATCTTATTCTGAAAATTTTTCCTGTAAAATATGTTTTTTATGATTACAAAACGCACAATTGTAATCTAAAGACAAGATTTAATCAGCTCATTTAACTCTTCAGCTTCACATTAGACAAAAGAGGAGGGGCGAGATGTGAGTCAGAACTAACACTTCACGTTGAATTATGGACTGAATCGATGGACTGTATAGTTCAAATCTCACAAAAATCGTAGCTGAACTCCATTGTTCCTTACAAACGATAGAGTTGAAAAATTAAAATTGATGAAATTTAGTAATTAAAGCTATAAAAATCTTACTAAATGTTTTACTAATAAAAGATGTACTCATTGAAAATCTAATATCCTTGAGTCAGACCTGAAATTGTCATCAGCTTGTTAATTAAGCAGTGATTAAAATTTTTGTTTTGAGAAAATTGCAATAAATCCTACTTACATTCCTATTATGTCACTTCCAAGGATTATTAGTAGGTAAAACATAATGTTTACTTCATATAGAGATCGGACATTATAATGTGGGTGCCATATTTAAAAACAAATGTTTACTCAGGAAGTCTGCAGTCTGAATTACAATGATGCGGCTTCAATTGTTTAGTAATTGTAGTGCACCATTCTCGATTATTATTATTACAGGGTGTGATCAAAAGTGTTTCCAATAATAATACGTATTTTTAGTTTCATTTTAACAAATTTACCTGTGACCTCATATTTTTAATATCTTTTTAACTATACATGGAGTGATCAGTAGTTTTTGTTTAATAATATATCTGTGAAATAGTGTAGTTATTTAATTACTTAAAAAATGGATAGACTTGTAAGAATGGAACTTCAAGCCCAAAATGAAATGAGAAGTAAGTAAATATTTATTGAAAACATGAATAATAAGAATGATTCGATATCCGTTTGCCTGTTTCTAGTTGGTACACTAATAACTTAAATATCCACTAATTCGTTTATTGCGTAATATGAATCAAATTTAAGCAGTTATATTGGTATTTAAAAATTAGTAACAAGACAGTTATTTTTCAACGAAAAAAATTTTTAGTTAGAATTTGTAAATACGAATTATTTTACAAAACGTTTGAGAAAATTAAACAAGGGACTAATAGTTTTATTTATTGAAATAATCAAACAATTGCTTATTGTTTTCCCTAAAATTGAACTCTATTTAACAAAAATTAAATATTTAAATCATCATAATGCTTTTTAAAATCTATAATTTGGCTCATATACCTAATACAAGGGGATGATTAGAATTTCAAGTCGATAATATTATTAATTGTGATTTATTGGTTAAAACAAGTTTTTCTATCGTTTAAATGTTGATGTTAGGTACTTAGTTAATGCTCTGTCATTTTGTGAAATTTCCAGGCCAGCATAATTATTTACATATTCGTACATAATACGTTTGTAAATTTATAAAAAATAATAGTAGTTAGTAACTGCTTAAAATAACATTGTTAGGCAAGAGCGTGAACACGTATCGACATCCGAGGGGCTAGGGAAGATCAGTATTTCGTGAAACTTGTTAATTAGTAGACAATTAATTAATAAATATCTGATCCCAGATCACCAGTTTGGATTCGGCTCAAACCACAGAATAAAAGAGAGAGTAGATGAAAAACGAATCTATATATCAGCATTCCTTGATATACAGCAAGCATTCGATAAAGTGTGGCATGAGGGTCTCCTTGTTGAAATCAAAACCTATCTACCCGACCAATCATATCTTCTCATGAAATCATATTTGTCTGACATACTTCCAAGTTAAATACGAAGAAACTTTAACCAACTACCATCAACTAAAATCCGGAGTACCCCAAGGCAGTGTACTCGGCCTGTTCTTGTACTTAATTTTCACTACTGACATTCCCATCAGTGATCATAAATTAATGGCAACATTTGCGGATGACACCGCTATACTAGCATCAGACACAGATGAAATAAGAGCATTCAACAAACTGCAAAACCACCTCAACGAACTAGAAAATTGGATTAGTCACTGGAAAATTAAAGTCGACACTAACAAATCCTGTCAAGTTAATTTCAAAAATCGAAGAATTAGATGTTCACAACTATACTTAAATAATACGCCTACACCAATAAATACAGAAGTAAAATACCTTGGACTGCATTTAGACGAAAAACTTACTTGGAAATCATATATTAAAGCTAAACGACGGCACCTCGACCTAAAAGTTAAAAATATTAGCTGGTTAATCAACAGAAGTTCGAAACTTTCATTAGAAAACAAAATGGTCATAAAGCAATACTCAAACCAGTGGTGGACATACGCTGCAGCAAACCATCTAACACTAAAATACTACAGACGTTCTAGTCCGAGACTATTCGAATGTTAGCTAACGCCCCATGGTACGTTTCTAACCAAAACCTTCATGCAGACCTCAACATTCCATTCATAGATGATTACCCACCACTCCAGAAAATATATGAATCCCAGTGAAAACCATCCAAACCACCTCATAGTCAAGCTCTTTAACCCTCCACTCATCGATAGACTCTTAAAAATACTTTGGCCAGAAGACCTAGCTGCTAGGTGAATTCCAGAGAGTCGTCAATGGACGACACCTGCCTCAAGCCACCCACTTCCATCAAATTTACTTTACTTTTGAAGTAGATTATAAATTAGCATTGAATAAAATAATAATAAATATCCCCCTTCTAATTCTCTGAGAGATGTAAAAATACATTTTAACAAATTTTAAAATGTTCAAAATTAATCTATTTATGATTTAATTAATGTAATTTTATAGATATGATGGTTAGAGTGAGGCAACAGATGAACGATTTACTGAACAGGTTCCCAGGCATTAGAAACGGAAATTCATCAGGCGATCTTCCCGATTTTCCTAGAATTGGAGATTTCCCACGTCTGGACATCGATTTGGGTAAAGGAAACACCACATCTGTAACGAAGGTAAAGAATTGTAACGTTTATTTATTTAAAACACTTTATTCACAATTTATCTTTTCTGTCAAACACTTCATTTGAAACTGCACGTCCATCGATAACTCGCGCTATTTATATAAGACCAGTTCTGTACCAGTAGTTTTTGGACGATTTCGAATGTCCAAGAATTCCATCTCTATGACTCAACGGGCGCGTACCGTTTTTATTCTGGTAGCTTCTCGAAGCATTACATTTGTCTCTATATGGCTAGACTTTATATTGCGGGCAAGGAACAAACCAAGTACAGGGTTGGCTTTGCGCGTTAAAATTTTGACATAAATATTAAAAAAATGTACAAAAATAATTTCTTGACTAGAATTATTAATATATCACGTACATGCTGAAAATATGATAGTTTTTTGATTTTTCGTTGTCAGCCCTCGTATAATAATAATTTATTACAGTACAAAAGTCCACTTGGATTTGATAACTATAAATTATTCCGCTAATTGGCATCCGTAGATTGCATATATTTATCTTTATCTAAAGGTATTATTAACAGGAAACGTGATAAATCTGATTAAAAATAGGTAATTTGGAATTTTAAGAATGCATATCTAATATTTAAAAAAAAATGGGATTTTTGCTGTTCTAATTCAAGCAAGTTACCCCATTCTTTAGTTCCAAGCAATATATGTTAGAGTTAAATATAATTTAATCTAAATTATGGCATCGTAGACTGGGGTGGCATATCAATAATATATCGAAACATAGGCTAGACGTGTCTCAAAAAAAAATCTTAACGTTGATATTAAAATGATGCATTACACGTCAGTATTCATTTCAATGATGAAGAACTTTACATTATTGTGAAATACAGCCATCCACAAACTTCAACCGGCGAATCTATCTTCAGAATCACATGAAGATTTAAATAGGTGATGGTAATCACTTTTTTAATGTCCAACAATGGAGTATCCACACCAGATTTGTTAATATTCACCGACAATCTTATCAATATCAATTTTAGATACTGGAGCAGACCACCATATTCTATAATGTTTACTATCAAGCAAGGAATATCCTTTCCTTTTGCATACTTTCCTTTACAACACGATTTAAATAAAGCAAACATTAAAATAATAAATAATGAAATGACCAAATTAATTTCAAACCACCAATAAAGTCAATAACTAACTTTCGCTTAAAGGTCGCAAACAACACACCAAAAACTACAAACAAATATTTTACCCATGAACTTCCTTCATACATCGCGAAACTAATCAAAACAAGACGCAAATTTCTAGCCAAGAAATCAAAACAAATGGTAACAACTTTAAACAAAAACATTCAATTATTAATAAAACAATTTCAATAATACACAATTACAAACCTGCCAAAAATTTATATCATAAAATAAATAAGCTGACGAAAATATAACAGAATTAATAAAATTTCAAATATCATAGACAATGGTTTAGTCTATGTCACAGATGAAGAAAATGACGATGCATTCATTAAAACATATTATTGGAACAAAAAACAATTTGTTGTTGTTAATTTAGAAAAGAACTTGTTCTAAATATCCAGGGTTTGTTCTTAGATCAAACAATAATTTTTTTTATCCCACATGGATATTACCTTATCTACGTACAGAATACAAAACGAAAAAGTATGCTATTGCGTTCAACTAAACGGATATATTTCATATCTATTCTAGGTAGTGAGAACATTGCAAACAAAATTAAATTCACCAATCACAGTTCATATTTTGGTCACCCAATACTATTATTATTAAAATTTTAAATAAGTGACAATTCTGTCAAACTAATCGTCAGTATACTTAGTTGTTAAGATTAAATATACATTAAAATGAGTTATTTTTGTGTAGAATAAATTTCTATTTTTTTTTTCGTCCACATTTTAAAATAAATTTAAAATTTAATCAAACTATATGAAACTAATTTAATTCCAAGAGACCCGAGTTAAAATCTCCGCTGAGGACTATATTTTTTTAAATTTGTAGATTTTCGTTAGAGGGTCGTAGAAAAAATATACTATACAACTCGAGTGGATTATCCATATCCACTCTTGTTGTACAAACTACTATTTACACAACAAACAAATTACACAGGTTATCAAAAAAAAGGTTGTGAACTGACGATTTAGAGCAGCATTTCTCAAACTTTTTTGACGACGGAACCCTTTTGAAAAGCGAAATATTTGTCAGAGCCCTAAAATAATAAAAACAGATTTTTTAAACTGTATATTGGTTTAGATAGGTTTTATTTTATTTTGAAACTCCGGAGCATTTAAAAAAAAAGGTTCTCAAACCGGCGGACTCACAGAAAATAATAATGTAAATATTCTTTTAAATTCCATGTTCAAAACATAGGAAAAATATCTGCCTCAATGTGTAAACTGATGGTATTTCCAATTAATCAATCCCTTATTCATAAATTAACAATTTATGTCCTCTTTCCTGGAATCTTTTTAATCCTATTTTCTATATTAAAACAAAAATAGAATTCTAAACAGGTAGGTAATCAATATGTAAATAATCTTTTTAAATAGATTATAGTTTTAAGAGAGTATTTCTTTTAAATTAGGTTTTAAGTGTTGTTTCAGCAAAATAGTTGATATAAATTCTACCTGAATGCAATGGCTAAAAATTACAAGTAAAAGATTTATTTCTAATTTTTTTTATTTATGAAATTGCCGAATAACATTACCAATGAAACTAATTTACTTTAAGGGAACGACTCAATTAAATTGAATCATTTTAAAACCTGTTTTAAAAGAGTTTTAATAAAAAAATGCAGAATTTTTGCACAAATTCGATTGACTAGGTACTTTGAGATTTTTAGGAATATTCCCAGTACCAATTTTAAAATTTCGCATCTTTTCCTGCTTTGTTAAGGCTGATGGACAACCATGGTTAATTTGAAACAATAATACTAATAATTTAAAATATATAAGATATTTTTTCGTAATTGATACGTCTATGATAAGTAAATTCTAACCTATAAATACTCACACATGAAACGAAGAATTTAGATCCAATTTGTCCTGTTTTTACAAATTTTGCACTGTTTCACCATTTTTAAAGTCTATATTTTAACAAAATAACAGAACCACTTTCACAAGAAAAAGCTGAAAAAAACCGATTAACAATCTTTACAACGTCAACTGTCAAAACAAGTTGATGAAATAATAGGTCATTTCCTTTGCATCGAAAGTGTAGCACTGAGCTACACCACTTCTGAAAATATCGTTCCATTTATACAATATGTATGGATAGAACGATATTTTCAGAAGTGACGTATCTCAGTGCTACACTTTCGATGCAAAGGAAAAGACCTAATGAATGAATATTTTGTATCTACAGGGAAATTAAAAATATTGAACACAAAATGAACGAATTCATAGAAATGACAATTTTAGATAGATATTTCTGAATCAAAGAATTCTTAACATCATTTTAATGAGCACAAAACTGCGCAATTTTTGTATCTGTTACACGTAGCTGACCCTCGTTTTCTAGAAGCTCTAATTAATATAATTTAAACATTTTAGATCATTGACGGTCACAAAGTAGTCATCAACCAAACCGAATACCACAAAGACGACGAACTCGGTAGCTCCTTCTTCAAAGTACGCATCATCGACGTCCAACCGCAAGTCACGGCTACAGAAAAAGACGCCGAAGAAGTTAAACCAATCTCCACCGTCTCCAAAGACAGAGAATCCGTCGAAAACACCGTCGAAAACGAGATTCTCAAAAACAAAGAGGTTGGTACAAACGGCGCTCCCGAAAAACTAGTGAGTGCCCAGTAAAAAATGCATGCGTCCAAACATTTTTCCTATACATAACAATATTTTTAAGTCTAATAATAATTCTGTAAAATAGAATTCTGCAATTCTAAGCATAAAAGTCTAAGAGCTATAGAATATTACAAAAAAGTATAAGTTGTCATTTATGTAAACTAAAAATAAGATTGGACCAAGTACACTACTTTGTGGAACTGCTAAATCTATAGACTTTGATGGAGGTAATAACTTCTTTGTAAACGTTCGAGGTTATATTTTTAATACATAATAAATCTATAGCAAAAATATATGTTTTTACATTTATGTCTACACATATGATTTGTCTGTATTTGTATTTGAAATATTTAGTATTCATTATTCGTCTTATCATTAGATACGACTTTTATGCTTGGAATGGCAGTAATTATAGGATCGCAATAACTCGATTATAGATCTAAAATAGCATTAACACTCCTACTAAAATTATTTTTACCAGCAAAATAACCAGAAATATATTTCGATTGAAAATTATAACCAAAAATGTTTAGGTACGAGCATCTGAATTCAAATTTTGAAGTTTATCGAAAAGATCTTCAGTCTAGCGATTGCGATCTTTAAAAATTAACATATATACAATATAATACATACCTTTTTACCTAAAGTAAAATAGTAATTGCTTCAAAGAAACTTAATAATTATTGTACATGGAATGAGATATTTTTTTATTACTACTTATATACATTATTATTATTAATAGTAATGAATTTACATAACTATTGTGTATATTATATAATTACTATTTTTTAAATAGTTTAAAATTGATATTGTTAATGTAAAAAAAAATCCTTGTGTTTTGAAATAAAGTTTTTCTCTGGTTATTAATTATTAATATTTTAATTATCGGATGATACGTACGATCGTGATTTTTCCTTTTCCTATCCTGGCATTTGTATTACTAATTTAAACAGTTTATAATAATTTATTGAATGCTTATTAACATACTAATTATTCCCTACCTATCTTTTGTACAAAATTATTACCATTCATGCATATACAGGATGTTCTTTATTGATATACGAATATTTGACATTAAAACGGTTTCAATTTTTTTATTCAAAAACGGAGCAACATAGGAAAACAACTCAAGAGAGCACTTATGTTTCAAATTGAACGGGGAATTTAAAAATAACTTTTATGGAAGAAAAAACCATTGGCGTACCATTTTTTTCTTAAAAAATTTCCAAGTTAGTACCCGTACTCACGCCACTTTAAAGCTGAAAATTATGTTTGTAAGGAAAAATATATAACTGCGTATTACATGTCACTGAAATCCCAAAAATATTCATTAATTTCCTTTTTTAACCGACTTCAAAAAATGAAGAGATTCTCAATTCGTCAGTATATTTTTTTTATGTATGTTCCGCGATAATTTTTTAACATGGTGTCCGATTTCAATGATTCTTTTTTTGTTAAAAAAGGGATACTTCAGGAGTGATCCCATCTACACGATTTTGAATCAGTTTTTAAAATTACTTTTAATGCTTGTTTTTTCTCTAAAACTTTAGTACTCTGTATTTTTGTAATGGAACATTTTTGGACCTTAATTTTTCGTGTAGATCTACACCTTAAAATATTCGCATATGAATAAGGAACACCTTGAATGTATATAGGGTGATGAAATTTTAATCAAACACTATGAGGATTTCATTAACCAATATTTTCCAAAATAAAAGAGTTATCCAAATAAAATGAAAACCAACAATTACGATTTTGCCTAAATATAGCTGATAATTTAATTTTGAAAAATTAAGTAATTGTTTTTGAAAATGCGCATTTTTTTTTTAATTTGACCGACTAGCTGTGTGAATTTACTGTCCACAAAATTCGAAAATTTTATATTTAAAAGCGGAATTCGTTTTGATCGCCTATTGGCCACCCAGTAACTTTTTTTAACAACCCTCAGAAACAAATATTTAAAAAAATTGAAAGGCATAATCCCTGCTGGTCGCTAGAATTTTATTACCATACGATTGACTTAATTTTTAATCATATTTGACCATTCATTAGATGTTTTAATCACAACCTAAAATAATTTCAAGGTGTAAATTATAGAAAAAAGAAAGTTTTGGAACAAATTTTAACTGAAACAATGATTACTTATACATATAACAAAACCACCAATGGACAAAAGAGATATTAGAATAGCCACTTGGAATGCCAATGGTATTCTCCAAAAACAAACTGATATCCAAGTTTTCTTAGACGTACAAAAAATAGATATATGTCTGATTTCTGAGACCCACCTTACAACAGAGTTATACATTAAATTCAGAGGATATAACTTATATCACACTATCCATCCATCAAATGCAGCAAGAGGAAGAAGTGAGTTAATTATTAAAAATAATATTTGCCACTATCCAAGAACCGTAAAATCAGGTAACCATTGGCACCATTAACATTAAGGGGGGCAAAATTACAATAGCTGCAATCTATTGCCCACCAAGATACAACCAGAAAAAAGAAAATTATCTCAATGTACTCAAAAAACTAGGTAACAAATTTATAATCGGTGGAGATAACAACTCCAAACACACAAACTGGGGTTCAAGATTAACCACAGTCAAAGGAAAAGAATTGCACCGAGCTGCATCAGAACTTGGTTGTAAAAAAAAAAAACTTATCAAGAAAGCACAATTTGTAATCCAAAGATCTTTTAAATCAAGTATCGACGTTTGACCACCCCCTAAAATAATTATAATAAGTCCAAAGAGTGTGAAAATTCGTAAAATACAATTTTCAAATCGAATTTCAATTTGGAAAAATTGATCAATCGATATGAAGACGTAAAAAATATGCTAATGGTTTAGAATTATGTTTTGACGTTTGACCACTCTCTTAAATAATAATAATGATCCCGAAATGTGTAAAAATCTGAAAAATAAAATTTCGACTTGGAACACACTTTGTTAAATATACATCTAACTTATTTCACTGATATCTCGGGCCAACCCTGTTCTAACGGTTTGAATTCAATGCAATCTATGACGTGATATTGTGCACTATTGTCCCGTATTAGACTGGTCATATAGTCACACTCAGCCACACTCAACATTGTTTTTGTTACTGTAAGAAGGCACTAGTAGTGATGCCAAATAACCAATTTAAAAATGTCACTAGAACTCCCTAGAAGTTTATGAAAGAAATGTATCTAGAATTCTCTAGACGTTTTCGAAATCAACAGTTATAATTTTCATAAATAAAAATAATACAAGTGTTTAAAAATGTTAAAAAGTTTTTTTTTATTGTAAAAGCCAGCAAGACATTGGCTCTGAGGATTTTCCTATTTCTTTAGGATCAATAATTTGGCAAAAATCTCCCTAGAACTAGGGACAACTCTTTAAATCCGGCATCTTTGGGAAGGAATATAAAAGACAAAAACGACGCCATATAAGCCAGAAGTATCAGTCCTTTTCATTTTCAACCAAAAACACTAAAATTTAATATAGAGGCATTTATGCCACGTCTTAGTGCATACTGAGCTTTAAGTTACTTACAAGTGATTAATTGCAGGGCATATTAAGAAACAATACTTGTGAAAGGCATTTTTTTAATATTACTGTTTTTGAGAGCGGTAAAAAAGTTATTGGGTTGTCAAACATGGTCAATAGACAGTCAAACGTATCCTGCTACTAAAACTAAAGATTTCAAATTTTGCTAGGTATAAGTATAGGTAAAGCACAGGGATACTTATTTTTGTGAACATAGTACTTTTATTTCGTACGTATTGAGCTGTACTTTTCTTTCTAAAAATCCCGCTGACCCATCTTTTGATATAAATGTTTCTATTGCACTTTTCACCTCCATATACGCACTCTTTTTCTATTAGGCCACCCTCTACCAACAACAATCTATAGAAAACTTCGATTTCGTGGACTCTCCATCTAGATTCGTCCCCAGATTCGTCCCGATGGAAGCCAATTCGAACTGGAACGACTTTAGCCGAATCGAACCGATTGATGATAATTCTCTTGATTTCGAACCAATTCGAGATTTGTCTAGAGATACGTATGTTAATGAAATTATGGCTAATTCTGGTGCTACTATGAATCCTGATGCCGAACTGATTGAAGTGGTACCTTATAAATCTAATATTGTACCGATTGGTGATAATGGTGTAAATTTTAAACCTATTTGAGATTTGTCTAGAGATACGTATGTCAATGAAATTATGGCTAATTCGGGTGCTACTGTCAATCCAGATGCTGAAATTATTGATTTTGTGCCACAAAATTCTAATTATATACCGAGAACGATGGAGAAGTACCAATATTCAAGAAGACGAAAGTAATTTTTTTTGATTCACTAAACAAAAATAAATTTCACATGTGTTAATATAGTTACAAGTTTCTAAACAAAACTACGTGTAGATTTTTTATTTTAAGTATTTTATAAAACATATAGACGAGGCTACTATATATAGAATGTGTCCCAAAAAGTTTTATACAAATTGGAAAAAGTTATTTCACATGTTTATTAAACTTTTTTATAATAAGTTGTTTATAATGTAAAATAAAGTCTGAACTCAATTTTTTAAATTACTTGGACTTGATTTTTAATTGCAAACAACTTCTATTTAAAAAAACATTTTGCTTTAAAAAATAAATAATAGCACTTCTTCTTTATACATCTTCCTATTTATTTACACCTTGTATATCTGTTCTAAGATTTTTTATAAGTTAATTTAATTTTGATAATTCTAATAATGACTTTATCTTAAAATTAATAATTTTTCTCTTCTTCTGGACTCCCTAATAATACAATAAAAAAAACAGTTATTTAGTTCTGTTTAGAAACGCCCTGTAACATAATCAGCTCTCATCGACATAATGTTAAGATATTTTCAGTGTTTTTTCATAATTTTATTTATTTATTTATTGTTAGCTGACTGTAGTATATTTTTAAAAGACGTTAAGTAATAAAACCCTAGAAATTGAATTTTTTAAACTAATAAGAGACGAATACTGCTATCAGTAGGAGATAGTATCAGTGATGGTAACTTTAATATGTTTTTCAACAACAAGAATGACATTTTAGACATTTAAAACGAAGCTTTTTTAAATAATGGAGCGCTGACATTTTTGTCAATTGATTGACAGTATACAGTGATCGTCGCAAGATAAATTCTTGCAATTTTGTAGTTGTAATTAAATCTGTCTTATAGCGTTTTTCAATGGCACTGACAATACGCACTGAGTATATTTGTATCCTTGTTTATCGATATGGAAAAGAAGAAAGTGAAAATACACTCGGAACGCACCAAACATTCTAGTGGAAAACGACATTACATACTTTTTCGGTTGATGCAATCTGACGTATGTCATATATGTGTCTTAAAAAGTGACAAATAATACAGACAAAAAATTCTAATACCAAAAAATGGTTTCAGCTTTTTGATCCCAGTATTCCCCTTTATGTTTAAATGATTATTTACGAAAACCAATTTGCAGTACAGCCATAATCACGTCATTTTTAAAATCTGCTAACATTAATTTATAAAATATATTGTTCACCTTTTTTTTTAATTTTACAGAGCCAAAAGTGTTTTAAATTTTATTATATTTATTTACATGTAACTAATGTTAGTGCTGGTTAAATAACTTGTATAAGTTAAAACCCATAAATGAAAATCTTTTATGGTTGTAAAGGTTACAATCTCCACAAGTGTTAAATATGTACGCTAATATTATCAAAGGTTGTGTACTTTTTGAGATACATTATATTATTTACATGTCTTTTAAAAATATACTATAACAGAAATCAGAAGACTGACCTGAAGCAGCAAGTGATAACAGCTTTATTTTTTATGTATAAATAATATTTCTTTTTGTGACTTGAAAATAAAAAAAAAATGTTTGTGCAAAATTAAAAATATCCTCATTTTTGATAAATATTAACTGTATTAATAATAAAGGTTTTAAACATTTCGTTTTATTTGCTTCACGTTCAACTCTATATAGGTTAAATTGTTTAATAAGGGATTGTTAAAAAATATTAAGGATTTAAGAAGGTAAGGATTGATCACGAATGCGTTTTATAGTGAAAAAGTTTGGCAAGAGGTATTTTATTTGAAATAATTATAAAATTGCAGGATGATTAATATTCTGCATTTAGGGTACATGTCAAATTTATGTGATTTCACCGTTTAATGTACCGCCGCCACCTTGAATTTTTTTAAATGGCATCGTTAATCGAGTAATATACAAAAGCTTATTTTTTCCTCTTTTCAAGAATACTAAAAAAGTACCGCATTACAGTCTTATTCATTAACCTATAAAATATCTTATTACAAAACTTTTTCTCTACTCTGTATTTAATAGGATCAGAAAAACAATAATAATGTAAAACCATGGATTTATAAGGTAGGGAGACGATATAAGTAAGTATCTTTTTCAAAGATTCTAAACGGTATTACTTATACCATTTCCACGAAAACTTGTACCTACTAATAATTTTTGTGAGTTACGGACTTATTTTCAAACTTAGAAAGTACTCATTTCTCTCAAGATTTTCATGTGAAATGTCATATGTCGACGTGAAAATAGTATTTTAAAAGCCAATGAGAATTCAAATTCTTGGGAGAATTTTAATCCTCTCGAAATAAACCAAAAGAAACAGTCTGCTTTAAAAATACTGATCTTGAAAGAGTAAAACCAAATTTGGTAAATTTTCACACTTTTATTTTAAAAATATAAAAATTTTTAAAAACACTAACATTACAAAATAAACTAACTTTTCTTAAGTACTTTGTTTTGTTAAATTATTTCGTATATATATTGGATACCGAATTGTAAATTAGTCACATTTGAAAAAGAAGTTGTACTTCGAAACATATGTCATGTTAGTGTTTTTAAAAATTTTTATATTTTTAAAATAAAAGTGTGAAAATCTACCAAATTTGGTTTTACTCTTTCAAGATTAAATGTATTTTCATCAAGTAAAGGCCGAAACAATAAATAATTTAAAAATACTGTTTTTACGATGACGTATGGTGGATGTTTTAAAACATTGAGGAACAGGAACTTAAATTAATCAAATCACGATGAGAAAGATAATTCGGAAAATAGAGGCATATTTAAGGAGCTGGTGAATTTTAGCGCCGAATTAGATAACGACTTAAAGGTTCATATTCAAAGTTCAAAAGCTTTCAAAGGTACCTCAAAAACAACCAAAATGAACTTCTTGGGTGAATGTTTATCACGAAGAAGTTAGGAAAGAAATAGAAAATTCTCCTTTTGTTGCAGCGATTGCCGATGAAACGACGGACGTTGCTTGTGAATTTCAATGAATTATAGTTTTCAGATATTTGTGTAAAGGACGACCAGTTGAGAGATTTCTGAGGTTTTACATGCTCGATGGACACGGCGCCAAATCAATCGCTGAATGAATTTTAAATGTTTTACATCCATTATTAAAACATAGTCCAAATAAATTAATTGCTCAAAGCTATGGCGGCGCGTCTATAATGTTTGGTATATTAAATGGTGTGTAAAAAATTATTAAACAAACATCCTCTTGCAAATTGCGTGCATTGCTATGCACACCAGAAGAATTTAGTTATGACAAGAGCATGTACTGTCAATAAGCGGGCTAGAATATTTTTTTCTAATTTATCTTGTGCTCTTTCTTTTCCACGTCTCCTCAAAGAACAAAAATTTTGGATGAAGTTGTTAATCGCAGGTTGCCAAGATCTTCCCAAACACGTTGGAATTTTCAATCGCGAGATGTTCATACTGTTTATGAGAATAGAAAAGACCTCATTACAGTTGTGGACATTATAGAAAGTACTTCAGGCGATTCGTCGTCTATTAATCAAGCAAGTGGGTACAAATTAAAACTTCAGGATAAAAATTTTATATTTTGGTTAAGTATTTTTCATCAAATAATGCCTCACGTGGAAATTATTTTTAACCAATTACAAAAAGTATGCAAGGATTCTGTTAAGGTCAAGAAAGATTTGGAGAATTTTGAAGCAGCAATTCAAGGTATACGGGAGTAAATGGACAGCATTATTGACAATATTCAAGGAGAAATAAATATGTCGCAAAAAGAAACTGGTGAACTAATTAGAAAAAGGTGCGAATTGAAGAGAACAGCAGAAAACGCGAAGCCTTAGAAATATACGATGCCGTTTTATTGCAAATAAAACAAGGTTCAACTTCTCTGAGCATTTGGTCGCTTCTAATTTATTTATGGCGGAGAAGTTTTCGGTCTATAGGCATCAGTTTCCCGAATCATTCCTCAATGAAACATATTATATATAGTTTTCATTTTTAGACAAAAATATGCTCAAACATGAATTACAAGTCCCGCTGTCAATTTTATTAAATGAGGAAGGTTTAAATTGTACATTTCAGAAAACTCCTTAACTTTTAGGTATTTTGATAACAATACCTATGTCAACATCTAAAGTAGAGCGCTGTTTTTCAATGCTTAAACGGATTAAAACATTCCTCAGAAATACAATGAAGGAAGAAAGACTTAGTGCTTTAGGTATAGTTGTCCGCAGAAAAACATTTTGTAAATGGAATTGAAAATTTTAATAATAAAGTAATTGAAAACTTTGCAACCAAAAAAGAAAGAAAAATGGACTTCATTTATCGAAAACTTTAAAACTAGTATATCAAGCAACTTTGTGCGCGTGTGTAAATACTGTATATAGGTAAAGTTTTATTTTTGTGATTTTTTGGTATATGTACCTAAAGACCCGTTATGGTAATAACAAACTGCAAGGAATTTCACCATTAATTACTGGGGATGAGTTAATATATAATTTTTAATTAATTTTACAGAGTTCTTTGATACATTTTGAGTAACTTATTGGCAAATTTTAGGATAAGACTAACCCTGACGGCCTGTTTCGTGGAAAAACTTGTGTTAGAAACCTCATAAATAGTAGTCATATAATAGATATAAAAGTTATCGTCCTTCATTTATTTTTTTAATTAAAATTTTATTTCCATTTTGACAATACCGTGATAAATTTTTGCCCAAAGGGCAGTTTTTTAAACGACTTTTGGTTAAAAATTTGGGCGCGGTACCCCAAAAAATGCTTCGCCTCTGATGGGGGGGCGTCCCACAGGCGCCTCTGGCGGGGTTTTCACATTTGTTAAAAATCTGGCACTTCCACCTCATATTATCACGAGCCGCCACTGGGTTCAATACTGATTGTTCTCTATACTGTGCTGGTACCAATCAATATAATGGCAGTAATAATGACAGTTATTTGAAAGCATTAAATATACAATTAATCTAATTTTTTTATAACTATTTTTGATTAAATTTAACCATGCCGTTGGAAAATTTACTGTTTTCTGCGATAGTCAACAATAATTTATCTCGAGTAAAAACGCTATTAAACCAAGAAATCGATGTTAATATCAGAAACACCGTCAAAAAAACTCCCTTGCACATATCCGTTCTAAATCCCGATATAGCTAAACTTTTAATAGAAAAAGGTGCCGATATAAACGCAATTAACAAAGATGGAGATACTCCTTTACATACTGCAGTGGATTTAGCAGAGATCGAAACCGTTTGTATGTTATTACATTATAATGCTGATCCGAATGTACCTAATAAAGATAACGAAACACCTTTCATGAAAGCTTTAATGAGTGGATTTGCTGAATTACAAGAAGCGTTACTAGATTACGTAGATGACTTTAAAGTCGATAATAACACTGAAGAGAATCTTGTAGCTGTAGCTTTAAAATATGGTAGCCGGTATGTACAAGAGATTGTATTAAGAGGAGGAAACGTAGATCAAAAAGCAATAGAGAATTTTAATTTCTCTGATAATAATATTGATCTATTTAAATTTATTTGGCTGAGAATTCCGAATTCAGAGATAGATGAAGATACTTTTGGTATTAAATTAATTCAGAAATTGTGTAGAGGTTCTGCTACGAGAAATTTTGGAAAATATATTGATTTTTTAGTGGAAAACGCCAATGGGTACATTATTGAGACCATTGCGAGCAATTTATCTAATATGCCTTTAAGATATTTCTTCTCTAGATGTCGTAGAACTCGCTGTTTAAATCAGCTGACTAAATTTATTTGTTTGTTGCTGCAATACAACTTTGAATGCACAGTTAGGAATAAAATTGATATTTTCGAAATTTTTGGTTATTGTCAGTTATTCGAAATATTATTACATTTTGGATTGGAAGACGACGTTGATAAATGCATGTTATGCGATCTGAAGTGTTCTAGCATCCTACCTACTTATATATGTTTTATAAACACTGATATCAAAACTATTTGTGATTGTAAAAAAAATAATCCAAATTTAAAATCTCTAATTAACATAATGACATATTGGGCGTATCCGAATTTGAATAAATTATTGACTAAAACAATTCTATTCCCGAAATTTTCAAATATTTATCCGAATCTTCCTGGTTTTCCATCTTTAGTGGAATTAGCTAGGGATAAAGCTAGGCAATATATTGTTAGTAAATTTAACATGTCGAAAAGTAGTCAATATTATACTTACCTTCATTGTCTTAATGTACCAACGACTTGTAAAGAAATACTAACCTTTAATAGGCAGATTTATAAGATTCATATTTAAATACACAGTATTAAACTGCGAGTTTCTGGTGTTTTTATAATTTGACGCTTTCGTTGCCCAAGCTTTAATGCCAACTACACGCAGTGGATCCATTGGTATACGAACAAGTTTGGACGTTCATTAACGTCATTTTATTTGTTTAGGGCCGGTTTTTCAATCTTCAGTGATTTGTGAATAACTCAAAAAAATCGCAAGAAGCAAATGAAAACTTTTTAAAAAACAAATCAATTGGTGTTTCTTTATTTCTGTATATGCAAAACGAACCGAGTTATGGCTCGTTCAAGGTGACTATTCGTTTATCAAAAACTGAATTGGAATATTTCAACGTTAAATAACTGAAAAATTACAAATTTTTACAAGGAAACTCATTAAAGTTTTTTAAAATGCTTAAAAATGCATTTAAAATCTTCTTTTGAAGAGTTATCATGAAAATAAAGTCTCGGTTATCAGCAAAAATTACAATTATGAATAATCCATTTAAAATTAATTTTATTTAGGCATAAACAATATGTTTCAGAAATTTCGATAGTTTAAAATGGTTAAATTGGAAAATATTTTGATTCAATTTTTAAATAATTTTTGAAAATATCAAAAAAAAAAAAATTTCACAATAATTTAAAAATCAAAGATTTATTATTTTTATTTCTGCAGGGTAAAAATTACTTGAGATGTCACCCTTTTTACTTTCCTATCTGTATACAGATATAAGGAAAGTATAGACATCATTATTTTTTTCGACCTCGAGTTTTCGACGGATTTTTACGTTTTGAGGTCCCCTGAATCCGTTTTGACTATTTTCGCGATGATGTCTGTGTGTGTGTCTGAATGTCGCATAACTCATGAACCGATACACAGAAAAACACCAAATTTTAAACTTAAGCTTTATTCCAGCGTCTAATGAATTGATTAGATTTTGGGCAGAGTCGAAACATCTGGGGGGTACTTTATAGGTGGTCATTTTTATATTTTATGGAATATATCTGTTATTTACGTTTGGAGAAAAAAAATTTTTTAAATAAAAGTTACTTCTAATATAATTATCTATAATTTTTGTTCTATACAAAATTTTCCTAAAATGGTCCGTATTTGAGAAATTTAATAAAATGTAAAAAATAATGTTTTATAAAAATTGTTCAAATAAAAGTTGTTTGTAATATAATTCTCTATAATTTTTATCCTATACATAATTTCACTAAAATGGACCGTATTCGAGATATTTGAGAAAATGTGTAAATTTCGAATTTTGAAGAAAACTCAAAAACGGATAAAGAAAAAAACATTAAATTTTAAACACTTTATAGGAGGCAGTTTTTATATTTTATGGTATATATCTGTTATTTATGTTTGGAGGAGAAAATTCTTCAAATAAAAGTTACTGCTAATATTAGTATCTATAATTTTTGTTCTATACAAAATTTTCCTAAAATGGTCCGTATTCGAGAAATTTGACAAAATGTGCGAAATTTTGATTTTTAAGAAAATTGTTGAACTAAAAGTTGTTTGCGATATCGATTCTTTATAATTTTTATTTAAACATGATTTTTCTAAAATGGACCGTAATGGAAAAATTGTAGGAAAAGTGCTTTATTAAAATTTTTCAGTATTTTCGTTTTCAATGAATATCTATGGAAAAATGTTCCGAGGTAGACGTATGTGGACAATGTATATATTTAGTTTATCCTCTAAACATTTGTAGAGGTGTTGTAATAGGTTGAACAAAATAACCTGAAAAAGCCTATAATAACTAGATAGGAAAGTCATGTGTTGGACACATCAGATTTTTCCTATAGTAACAGATAGATCGAGTTCCAGATGATTATTTAATAGATCAAGAGTATTTGGCGTTAAATATAAGAATATTAATGCGTTGATTTTTTTCTAGTTTTTTAGTTTTTTCTTTTATCTCTTCTATTTCGTTTTCTAATTTATGAACTTTTTCACTTTCTTGCCTTAGCAGTCTTTTAATTTCAATTATTTTGGTATTAAGAAGGCTGGTTATTATTTTTATTTGTTTAACTTTTTGTTCTTCTATAATTTTTGTAACAATTTCAACAGTCAGACCTTCTATTGCTACCTAAATAATATATCTTGAAAATGTTGCTCTTTACTCTCAGACTATATTTTCTATTAAATCAGGTTTTAATTATTTATAATAGCATTTAATTCGTATATTACTTATTGGAATGATCTAAATTTTAACTAGCTTTTAGATATAGTCCCAATTACTCACTGTGAAAAAAAAAAACAGGTAAATTCAGCAACTTTTAACCACTTTTAGCACAATTTTTTCGGAGCACAAATCGATATACTACTTTACTGCACGTTTCTACAACAATAAACAACAACTACAATTAAGTTCATTTGCTGAGAAAATATTAAAATATAAATAAATATTTATTTCGTTTACAAACGTCTGTGGCTACAAAAACTACGTTTAGACGCCAATTCTCAAAAAAAAGTATAAATTTCAACGAACAAAAAGCCCACCGACTTTTTTAAAAAGCAGATATTTTGACGGAAGAATTTTCGATTGAAAATTAGGGTCCTTTTTCGATATTAAGTCAAAATAAGGTGAAAAAATAAATATTTTAAATCAAAAAAATTACAGTGTGTTTGGAACATAAAAAGGTAAAATTTCACCAAATTTCGTGAAAAACATTTTTTTTTGTAAAAAATAAAAATAAAAAACCAAAATCTTGGTTATTTGAATTTTTTACATAAATTTTGAGGTTATATGAAAAAAGTGTAAACACAAAAGTTGTAGATCTTTTTATTATCTACAACATTGCAATTTAACTTTTTTCCATAGGACTTGTAGTTTCACTGGAAATAGAGATAAACCGTTTTTTACTCTTAAAAACTCACCTTCTTCCACTTTCCAACCACAGATCGCCCGTAAATTGTTTTTCCTTTCATTTTTGTTATATTCTCTTCCTTTTCCAATGGGTTTCATCCTACTCTTATTTATTTTGGTTTCAAAAATCATCGACTCTGGTCTATAATAGGACAATTATTAACTCTTTACAGATTCTTCATTTAATACCTGCCATCTGTAATATTCCAATTTCCAAAATAAACATACCTCATTGTTTTTTTTTTTTTTTTTTTTTTTTTTTTTTTTTTTTTTTTTTTTTTTTTTTTTCAAACAGTTTTTATACATAAATTCACTTCTGCTTCAAACTTCACTTGACTTTCACACATTACAATACAATTGCAAAAATAAAGACAAAGACAAATAATAATATATTTAATTATTATAATTTTCCTTATATTTAAAATTCCGTTTTCAGATCAGCTGTCAATTTAAAAATAAATTAACACAACCAAAAACTGTAGTAAAAAAATGATAGAATACTTAATTTATACCTTATACTTAAATCGACATTAATAACTTATAAACCCATAGGGTTATTGGGAATCACTTGAAGAACTACTGCTTGAATCAGTAGACATAACTTCAACATCTTCGTTTTCCTGTTTATGATTCCTGGTATCCATTGGCACCGTACTCTGTCCAACGTTTATGTGCATTTCACCAGATGGATGCCATGCAAACTGATTTTGTTGGGCGGCTGGAATTTCTATATAAAAAAAAACAATATGAAGAATCAATTAATGAAATGCCGAATAATAATATAAAAACTCAACACCAAGAAAGTTTAACAAGTATTAGAAATTAAAAATTAAAAAAAAACGACTTCAAAAACTTGCAGATGCCATCACCACATCTTAACCAAATTTATATGGGACCACCCCTGAGGTACCCCCTTACTAACAAAAAAAGAATCATATAAATCAGACAAGGTGGTAAAGAATTACTGCTGAACATACATAAAAAAAAAACAAAAAAATAAATAAATATTGCGACGAATTGAGAACCTCCTCCTTTTTTGAAGTCGGTTAAAAATAAATACAAATTAGTGTATTTTTCGAAAACAGACATTAATTCAATTTAAAATAAAGATGGTATTAAAAAAAAACACATTTAGTATACTTTTTATACCAAACATTCATCAGTTTCTTGTTAATTTATTAAACAAAAAATTATTAAGGATTATTCAAAATACAATTTTTAACTTTTTAAAATAAGGCTTTTTTACCATCAAATGACTGTGAGGATAAAAAGGTACAAAAAACACATGTAGCAGTAAATTAAAAATAGAATTTTTATTTAAAACAACTCTGTACCTGTTTATTAATTAAATAATATTAAAAAAGCGATAAATTACAAGACCCTAAATATAGTTTTTACGACTTTAAAGTAACGCGTTTCTGTGAATAAATATTACTGTATCAAAATAACAAAAAATCAAATATTTAGCACGAAATTTCAAATACAATTTATAATATCAATGATTTAATACCGGGTGTCCCATTATATTATGCAGTTTCTTAAGAGGAGGTTCTCTGAGTTGGAGCAATCTGTAATTCAGAAGTGATGGATGACATTCAGAAAAAAATTAGAAAACATGTCTAAAGATAATGCAGTGTTAAGAAAGGAACAGAAAGTCCTAAAAAATAGAGTTGAAGAACTTAAGAGGAAGATTGAGAAATTTAATAATTTTGAAATTGAAGATAGTGAATATGGAATGCAAACATTGTCAAGTAAGGAATCTAGAAAACCAGTGTTAGTTAAATTGAAAGAAAAGTCAACCAGAGATAAATTATTGGAATTGAAGAAAAAGATACTGGAATGTGGAATTGATGATGAAAGCAAAATAATATACATTAATGAAGATCTACCAAAGAGTGTCCAGATGTTGTATAATAAAGCCAAAATTCTTAAAAACCACAGCTATAGATTTGTATGGTATAAGAATGGGACTGTGTATGCTAGAAAAAATGAAGGAGACAGGTTTATAATAATAAAACATTCCCAACAAATCGATTCTATCATAGACTCCTAATGTTTTATATTTTTGTCATTAATTTGTTTTGTAGAAGTTAGAATGTAATCTTTTATTTCAAATGGCTATTCTAAAAAAATTTAATATTGGTCATGTTAATGTACAATCTTTGATCCCTGTTGTTTATGATATCAAATGTCTATTACATAAATGTAACCTGGATGTTTTAGGTATAACAAAAACGTGGTTGAAAGATGAAGTATCTAATGATATTAAGATAAAAGGTTATGAATTTTTGAGAATTGATAGGGATAATAATAAGAGAGGAGAAGGTGTAGGAATGTTTATTAAATCAATCATAAAGGCAAGTATTGTTGTTGAATGCTCTGTTGTAAGAAAAGAACTTGAGCAAATATGGATCTCTTTCAAAACAGGAAACATCAATTTTGCTTGTGGGATAGTATTAATGCTAGAGATGCAATTCATGTATTAGATTAATCAACAGCTTTTATGCTACCTAGGTGTGATGAAGTAATACTAATGGGTGATATGAATTTAAATTTACTAAAATCTAATAACACAACAGATATTTTTAGTGATATATTAGAATTTTTTGGTCTTAGACAACTGGTAAATAAACCCATGCGAATAATAAAAACATCATCCACTCTATTGGATATTGTCTGTATTACTAACTCTGATTTAATTATAAATGATGTTAATCATGTTGATCTGCATTCTGTTACTGATTATCAACTTACATTTTACAACTTGCATGATTACAAAAGTTCCCAAGAAAAACGAGAAGTTTAAATGTTTTAGAAATTAAGAATTTTAATATTTATAGTATTAACTTTTGATCAGGAGGTCATTATCTACATTTATCTGAATTTTAAAAGAATATCACCGAAAGCTAAGAATAGTGTGGGGTCTTTTGATGTTTGATTATGGATATCCAAGTGATGCAAAACTTTTTATATAATAATATAAACTAAAAAGCGCAAAAGTGTAAATAAATTAAAAACCTTTAGTTATCTTTTAATTTGTAGGTTTTTTCCAACTCTACCTTTAAAAATAATAGATTGATTTACTACTGAGAAGTCTGACAAATTATTTAGACAGACATTGAAGCAATATTTTTACTTTTTTAAATATCCATGACAATTTACAAGCCCATTTAAATTACAGTTTTAAAATATCTCAAATATTGAATATGTCACAACAGACTGGAAACATTTAAAACAATAAAATAGGTTAGTCAAAGATTTAAAAAAAAATACACAGTAAAAACATTAATATTAAAGCTCTCAATATTAAGTAACTGAGTTTTGAATGATGAAAAAAAGAATGTCAAATAGTCTAAGATTATTGTGTAAGTTCATTATACTAAGAATTCTTTGAATGCAGCTGGTAGAAGTTAAACAAATAGAAATTTGGAACAATAATTATTACATTTATAATATTAAATACCAAAGTAAGGCCTCTCTATTTTCACCTGGTTTTCAAAAAAGGATATTTAGAAATTATTCCAATACACACTTGATTTAAAACTTAAATATATCTGAGACAATATATGTTATCTAATATGGAGATATTAGAATCTAAAAGCAAAACTGTCTTACCCCCAGGATGTCCAGGTCTGTGTAAATCTGACATGCTGTTTTGTTGGGCCAACATATGACCGTTCATTGGATCACCCAATCTACCTAATAATCCCAACCTCATTTCAATATCTGTAGGATATGGACGCCTAGGATCCCCCTGTTGCCACGTCAATGGAGCACAAATGGCATTTGATGCACTTATCCTATGAGCAAATTTGATTAATTCTTCTGAAGATACAGGACGTCGATTTGCCCTAGCAATGGACTGTAATTTTTGATTAGCCTGGTATATAGCGGTGGATAATATTTGTTCGGCTTCTTTTAATTGTTTTTGTAAATGGTTTATGTCTTGATCTTGGCGTTCCACTTCTGCTTTTAAAGTGTCCAATTTTTTATTAATTTGCGCTTGTTCCGAAGCCAGCTGTAACGTTTTCTTTAATTCGTTATCTTTAGCTACTAGTAGATCTGTAAGTTGAGCGTATTCCGGGCCTGATAGCTTTGAACTTTTCGGGGCTATTGAATTTTCAATTATCTCCCTAAAACAATAAATATACGTTTAAATTTCTTCTTAATACTTTCACTATCTTTGTTTTTTACGATTATTATCAAAATTATAAGCATATTTCCCTAATATCTCAGAAATATTTAAAAACGAACTATTCATTAACCAATTTTAATTATGTATTTTGTATTTCCAAACAGTCATGAGTGAAAAAGTTAAAAACGAACTAAATGCACGGTTAGAAATTAAATTCTTATATTTTCTTACTTGGAAATGAGTTCCATATCATCAATTATGTATAATAATTTTTCTTTTGTGCTTATTTGAGCCATTTTTACTACACAAATTTTATGTTTTTAAAAATATTTTCAATGACAATTCGACAATTGACAATGACATATGACAGAAATCAAATTCAATGCTATAAGCTTTGTTTTGGTTCATTTTCGTAACTGTTCTAGAACTCTTCCAGAACCTTTGGAGCTTGCGCAGTAGATAATTGCTGTTTTGGTTTCGCCAGAACTGTTCCGAACCCTTAAGTTCTGTGTTTTGGTTTTTCTTGGGAATGGTTCCATAACCATTCTCGAACAGTAACGTCGGTTCTGGCCTAAAGCGAGAACTGTTCAGAATTGATATGTTTGCGCTTGCGCTTTTTTGCAAGTAATTATGTTTTTGAGATCCTGGCCATGTTTTGTGTTGGAATTTTTACAAGGAATTTTCGAATGACTAATGAGAATGGAGCAGTTGATTAGTTGATGTTGATTTTTTACGAATAAATTATTTAATTTATCTACGTTTTACAATATTATGTGGCCTCTTTCTTACCTAGACACTGACCCTGTGTTATTTCTTCTTTTTTATTTATAAATTACTTTTTGACATTCAACTGTTCTGGCAGTGTTTTGGTTTCGAATATAATGGAATGGTTACAGAACTATTCAGAATTAAGGACCATTGCGCAACTGTTCTGCGCATGGTTCTGGAACAATTCTAGAACGTGAACCAAAACAAACCTATTGCCGCACAAAGCACATAGAGGTTCCACGTGAATGACCAAGGTCAAAACCGACAACTGACTTTTTTATGCTATTTGCTCCAAACTCTAGATGGGGCTACTGGTGAAATTATGATTTCTTACTCCATTTTTAAGCCTTATGGGAGAAAAACTTAACCAAAGACTCCAAAGATGTGACGTGTATTTATTTATGTTCTTGGTTAGTTTCATTTTTCCGTCTGATTTTAGTGATTTTTTGTTGCTTTGGCTTTTGGTTTCTGTTTATAGTTTGGTCTTAGTTATTTGCAAAATTGTGATGTTTCGCTTTTTTATTTCCTACTATGTTTTGCAATAATTTTGGTGCTACGTTGAGAACTTCGAGAAAAACTTCATTGATTCACCATATATTCACCATGCATCTGCATCATAAAAAGACAAACGGGGACAACAACTAATTGATAATCAATTTATCACTGGACTAGATTCCGAAATCATTTTTCACATAGAGTAATACCACCATCTGTATTTGGAAGGAAAATACCTATTTATCATTGAATGAATAGTTAAAAGGATTCACCTTTTAATACAATATACCTATATTACATTTGTCCTCGGTTTAAAAGACATTTATAAAATATATTATTTTAGTGTTAATAAAATGTAATATCCTAGTCTCTACTTCACATTTAAATTATTGATAGGTATTTTAAAGATTTGAGAGTAAGTATTCGTTAAATATGTATTATTATTTGTATTTATTTTTATCTAATAATATTTATTTAAGTTTCTAATAAACATATTTTAAGAATGTTCTATTTTATTATTTATTGATATATCTTATATTTATTTAATAAAAATATGCAGAACCAACTCTCCACTTTAGACCCCTTATAACAAATTAATTCTTCAAATTTGGTATAATCGACCTAAATTATTTTGTAAAATAAAAGTTTCGAACTTACTAGTTCCATACTTTATTTTATAAAATAATTTATGTGGAAATCATTTAAAATTTAATTTAAAACTACTACCTACTCCTAAAAATTACAATTTGAATTTACCGCCATCTGTCAATTGTCATTTTAGTTCCAGCTCCAAACACAAGGTGGCACTAATTTGGTTTAAAAGTTTAACATTGGCGTGGGGTCTCTAGAAGATACATGCTTTGTGTATTGCCGCGTTTGAGAATCCACATCCGATGCATCTGAGATGTAAAAAATCTTTGATCACGTGATTCAGTATACGTAAACGTAATGGGATAGATGTGTCCGATGTGGATAAAAAAACGCTCGAGATGTAAAAAATGCATCCGATGTGGATTCTCAAACGCAGCATATATGCTATATAAAATTATATAGAGTGCTCACTCATATAAATAACCTTTTCGTTTTTCCCGACAAACCGGTATGGTCTTAGATTATGTGTTATGTAGTCTCGGAATTTTAGTGATAGCTTGTTAATAAGACTACAGCTCCCTAGTATAAGGGGATACCAGTTTATATAAATATAAAATAATATTATGTTATATACCCGTTATTATAATATTTTTAAGAAAAATATACAGAAGGTTTGTTCTGGTTCTTCAGAAATATGTTGAAAACTGTCCGAGTACTAGATGACCAGTTGAAAGTTGAAAAGTTTTGCGCGGCGAGTAATTTGATATTCAAGTATTCTACTGGATCTCGAAAGGTTTACATTATATTTTGAAGAAACCAGAACAAGCTTAGAGTAACTCCTCCATTTGTAGAGCCAAAACAATTTTATTTTTTTAAAATCTGTGTCCACAACGAGATATATATCAGAAGGCAACAATTTAAAAATAATTTCAATAATAGCGGGTTCTCCAAGAAAGTGATAGATATCAAAATTAGCTTTTTTAAATGGGACATCCTGTATTTTATTTTATATTTTCTATTATAACCATACCAAATAGTATAAGATTACACACATTATTTTCCACGCTATAAACAGGTTTATATGAAAATCGTATTAATTTCAATAACCTGTAAAAGGTTTTTGATGTTAGTCAACGTTTTATGACGATTCACTATTTTTTTCAATTCAAACAATATTTACAGGGTGGGTCAACACTCATATATCTTTTATATCATCAATTAAAGTTTCAATTGAGTCAAACATTCCTTAAAGTTAATAATTCACAAAAGATTTACTATAAATTCTAGTTCTAGGCCACGAACCATCATTGAGTTAGTGTGGAAAAGTTAACGTACTAAATATAAAATTGCCTATTTTTTACAGAATGATCAATCTATATGGTTATATAGCATTGTTTAATAAGACATTTTTTAAAACCATAATCTTGATGTATGAATTAAAGAAAAATAACATTTTAGATATATAAAAATGTCCTACTAAATAAATTAATTCATGAAACAGACCGTCTTATTAGAAATTGAAGAGATTAAGATTTATGACGTCATACAATTACCAACCGGTTGAAGCAAAGCGATTGGTCCGGTAACGTAAGTGTTTGCTCTTCAAAACACGCCTCATCTTTACCTTTTCATCCATTTTACGTCAAAAGAGTGTAAGTTTATTATAAAATTTTAAATTCTTAATTCATCTAATTACTTTTAAAACTTTTTAAGTTTAAATAATATAAATCTAATAATAGTACAAATGATTTTTAATAAAAGACATTTATTTTTTAGAAATATATGTCTGATATTTCTCAAAGATGAAATTATTTGAGGTTATGTGTTCATCCCACTTTTTGATTATAAACATTTATTATTTTTTAGGACTAAAATGAAACAAATCGTGACAAACCAAACAGTAAAAATCCCAGAGGGATTGACCGTTAGCGCCAAATCGCGCTTGGTTACGGTAAAAGGACCCAGAGGAACCCTTAAAAGATCTTTCAAACATCTGGCTTTGGACATTCACATGGTCAATCCCAGATTATTAAAAGTAGAAAAATGGTTCGGTACTAAGAAAGAATTGGCCGCCGTCCGAACAGTATGCTCTCACGTCGAGAATATGTTAAAAGGGGTTACGAAAGGATACCAATATAAAATGAGAGCCGTGTATCTCCATTTCCCCATCAACTGTGTTACTACCGAAAATAATTCTATTATTGAAATTAGGAACTTCTTGGGAGAAAAGTTCATCAGGAGGTGAGTGTTTAACATTGATATTTCTACTCACAAAATATTAATAACTGATTTTAGTTTGGTACTTTTTCCTCATTTTCTAATGGTATAAAAACTTTAAAATTCACATTTCTATGTAGGTATATTACTAATTTAATATTTCTAAATTTTTATCATATTTTTATACATAGATTTCATTCATAATTATTTTAATTCATTCCCGATTTTGAGAAACAAATTACTAAATTGGTTAGGGTCATGACTTTGAGATTGAAGAACAAATTAAATATTAATTCTAATGCATACATACCCTGATTCTTTACTTGGCCATTTACTTGGTGTCCCAAAAATCACGTTCCTTATTTGACATTTGATAACTTTTTCTAGTAATTAACAATATTCGTGAAGGGTCTAATGCCATTATCTAAAATTGTTTAATTTCTAGACATTTCTATTGGTTGTTTTTTGTAGTAATTTTTTTTTCTTTGGTGTACAGCTTCAACATTTCAGGTCATTAGCCTAGTGTTCTATGTAGGTTATGGATTGTACTAGTAGTCTAATACTCCATAGTGCAGGAGTATTAGTACTCTAATACTCCTACACCCCTACAGACAGGCATTGTTACTGTTTCCTTGCACCACTTTAGGAACAGCATTGTTAATTAGAACCCAACAGTGAATGGTCAAGTGGGGAATCCTACCAAGGCATCAGAATTAATTTTAAATAATTAAATTAACTAAAAAATCCTGGCCAACGGTGGGATTTGAACCTGGGACTCTTGGATCCACAGGCAGAGACTGTACCACTGAGTCACCCACCCCTTATGTTGTAATAATTGTAATTGATGAAATAATAATACAAAAAGGGTCTAATTTAAAAACCTAATGAGGTTAGGTACTTTCTTTTAATTTGTTATAATGAATTACTTGTTATGATAGATTTTTCTTTATTATATCCTTAAAAGTGATTATTATAAAAAGCACATTCAGTGTGTCCCTAATCTAATATGGCTTATGTAAGAATAGAATATGACTAGAATGAAGATATATTGATGCTTGGTATTCTATATTATATCCTTTACAGTTTAGCAGACTCCTTTAATCCCCATTTTTAATGTGATTTTTTTTTCAGATTCAATTATAAAACTTAATTTTTCCTGGAGATTTCAAGTTGATATTGTTTTTTGTTTCAACCCCCTTATCTCCCTATTTTTATTTATTTATTTTCATTCATTCCCTTATTCAGCTTGATTTTTACTAAACATTTCATGTTGATACTGATTTTTGATTTGTATTTTTTTTATTTGAACCTTCCTTGACTCCATTTTATTTAAATTCTAACGGCTGTCCTTTTATAGAGCTTGATTTGTACTAAAAATTTTATGTTAATATTGCTTTTCATATTTGTTTTTTTTTTTGCTGAATTTCAGCACCCTTAACCCCCATTTTAAATAATATTTTCTTAATTCATAGGCTTTATCTCCTTATAGAGCTTGATTTTTGATAAACATTTCAAGTTTATATCATTTTTGAGTTAGGGTTTTTTATATTTAACCCCCCAATTTATTTAGATTTTTTAGAATCAATAGGCATCATCTTCTTTAATGTTAATATTGCTTTTCTTTTTGATTTTGATTTTTTCTCTCTAAATTTCAACCCTCCTTAACCCCAATTTTTAATCAAATCTTTTTCAAAATTCATAGGATTTGTCCCCCCCCCCCCGCCCTTATAGAGTTTGATTTTTGCTAAAAATTTCAAGTTGATATAATTTTTAGTTTTTGAGTTAGGATTTTTTTTATATATATTTTAACCATAATTCAGGTTTTTTCAGAATCAATGAGCTTATATTATTTATTTATATATTTTAAATCCCCTCTCCCCTTAACCTCTTAGTTTATCCAATTTTTTTCAGAATTCAGCCTCTTATAGAGCTTGATTTTTACTAAAAATTTTATGTTGATATTGTTTTTGTTTTCGATTTATGATTTTTTTTTAATTTCATCTCACCTTAACCACCCATTTTTAACCAATTTTTTTAAAAATCCATAGGCTTTGACCCCTTATATAGTTTGATTTTTGCTAAAAATTTCAATATAAATTTTAGTTTTTGAGTTAGGTTTTTTTTATATATTTTAACCCCCTATTTCCTTAACCCCCAATTCAGGTTTTTTTAGAATTGAGCTTAGGATTTTTTTTTATATTTAAACCCCTCACCCCTTAACCCCCTAATTTATTCAAATTTTTTTCAGATTCCAGAGAGCTTGATTTTTACTAAACATTTTATGTTTTTTTTTTTAATTTCATCTCTCCTTAACCAAACATTTTTAATCAAATTTTTTCAAAAATCCATATGCTTTGTCCCCTTATACAGTTTGATTTTTGATAAAAATTTCAAGTTAATATAGTTTTTAGTTTTTGAGTTATGATTTTGTTTTTTATATTTTAACCCCCTCCTCCTGTGACCCCAATTCAAGTGTTTTCAGAATCAATAAGCTTAGAATTTTTTTTATATTTTAAACCCCCGCCCACCTTAACCCCCTAATTAATTTTTTTACAAAATCTAGCTTTTTATAGAGCTTGATTTTTACTAGACATTTTTTTTTTTAAATTTCATCTCCCCTTAACCGCCCATTTTTAATAAAAAAATTTCAAAATCCACATTCTTTGTCCCCTTAAAGAGCTTGATTTTTGCTAAAAATTTCAAGTTGATGTCATTTTTAGTTTTTTTTTTATATTTTAACCCTCCCTTAACAACCTAATTTATTAAAAAAATTTCTAGAATTGAAGACAGTGGTGCAAAAAGTGGATAGCTCCGTTTTTATTAATATTTCAGGAGACTAAAAAACAATTTAAATTTAATATTTATTTTGATTTTTTTTTGCAAACATCAGAATGTAGTTTAATAATGCACTGAAATGAAGTAGGGGACAAACATATTTTACCTATAACCCCTGTATAAATCAACAGAGCTGCCTCGTTCTTGCACCAATCAAAAGAGCATCCTGTTATTAGTATATTTCACTATAAAAAGAAGAATACTATAAAAATGGAGCTGCCTCCTTTTTGCACCAGTGTCTTCAATTAATAGACTTATAAAAACTATTATTCACAGTTGTTTAATTTGTATATTTCATTCTAGAATAAAAATGGCACCAGGTGTGACTGTAACAAATTCCCAAAAACAAAAGGATGAACTTGTAATCGAAGGAAATTCATTAGAAGACGTTTCGAGATCAGCAGCCCTCATCCAACAATCCACAACAGTTAAAAATAAGGATATTAGAATGTTTTTGGACGGACTTTACGTTTCCGAAAAAACAACAGTTGTACAAGAATAATAACTTGTATATATTTGATAATAAACTTATTTAAAACGTTTTTTTGAAATATTTAATAAAATAAAAATCTTTCATTTAATTAAAAAGACAAAAATATATTTTATATACAGTGTGTTTATTTAAATCAGAACTATATGGAAAACTTGTAAACTTTTATGAAAAAAAGTTACACTACGCTCTTACCACAATTATCTCTTCCTTTAAAATTACCCCTTTTTGTTCACATTATTTATGACCTCTACGTACAAAATTTTTACCAAAAATATGCACCATTGTCCAGAATTGCCCCATTTTTTGTCCAAGTTCGTCATAGAAATCAAATTTGGAAAATATTTAGAAGTACACAAGGAAAATCAAAGAAGTTTTTTAAAAATGGCCAAAGTTATCTAAAAAAATAAAGTTTCGTTATTTACAAAGTAATTTAAAGAAAGAGCTGTGTAGTGTTGCCAACCTTGAAGTAAGATTTTTCCCTCTACTTACCTTAAAAATTTTATGAAAAAAATCCCACCCGTTTAGGGATGTGCCACCTTTAAATTCCTCAAAACCCGGACCTTTGTTTCTGAAAAAAAGTTGCTTATAATTAGGTCCAGCTTCTAAAAAAAGATCAAAGGTCCTCATAGTCTGTATTAAATAAACCAACAAGTCTTTCCTAAAAGTTATCCAAGTATTCCCGGATATTCACAATTTGAAATGGATTAAAAATTTTCTTTTTGAGTTAACTTTTTCCCTTTTGTGTTAAAAATTCCCAAAAGACGGCCCAGGATTACAAAATTTGAACGTAAAAGCGGTGACGCCATCTATTTGTGCTAGAGACATCTATTGCCAAAACAAGAATTAATTAACAGATTTCTGTGAAATATGAAGACTAGAGATAAGGAGACGAAACAGCATACTCAAAATAAGGTCCCAAAAAACGAACGCTAATTAAGCTTTTTTAATTCACCGTAAGGGCGCTGGTGCTAGTACCGCTGTTCAAAATACATGGGTTCTTATGGGAATGTAACATAATTTTGTCAAAATAATAAAAATAAACTTGTTTATTGCTAAATAAAGCACATAATATACTGTTGTATTTATTTCTAAATAAGTCTTGCATGTTTTAATTGATAAATTATTTAATGTTATCTATATAAAATACAATTTAGGTAGGTAGTCTTCTTAGGTATGACTTAATTCGAAAAGATTTGATAATGGTGAAATTTGATAAGTAGAAATTTGTGTCTAAATTTTTTTGAATTACACCTAAATATATGCCGCGTTTGAGAATCCACATCGGATGCATTTTTTACATCTCAAGCGTTTTTTTTTATCCACATCGGACACATCTGTCCCATTACATTTACGTATACTGAATCACGTGATTAATGATTTATTACATCTCAGATGCATCCGATGTGGATTCTCAAACGCGGCAATAATAGTTAAATAGCAAAATATATGACATTGACACATCCTTTAATTTCGGCTTTCTTCTTTTTATTTTGCTAATAGGACCATCAGTAAAAAATCTCATAATATTTGGAAATATCTTCTAAAAAGTGTAGAACAGCATCATCTCTAGAAAGTGCTTTATCAGCCACATAGGAACGATACATATTCTGCCACTGTTCTAAGCGTTTAGGATCTTATAAAAAACATTTACAATGACAAAATTGAGGTTACACAAAAAAATAACAGTAGCATCTCTTTATTTAACATTAAAACTCTATAAAAACATTTTCTCTTTTCTGGTAGTTAAATTTAATGTATAAATATTGTTGTTTGTAAGTCAGGAACTATGACTGTAAAATTTTATTTTATAGAAATTTGTAATGAAATAAACTACACTTCTTGATATGTGTGTTGTGACTAGTTTACAATTAATATTATATTTAGACTTAAATACATTATTTTACTTACATTAGAAGCTTTAAAAAGACATTGAATTGATATATTTATGTGTTTTCTTTAGTTTTACATGTGATTTGTATCCTGTTTTACAAAATGGAACGAAATAAATTTTGCTTTAATATTTTTTGTCACTCATGTTACTTGTACTCAGGTACTTTTTTCACAATGTTTGATTCTTTTTACCAATTTTTTAAAAAATTACTTCATTTTACATTGACTTATATGGAAAATGAACGTCAGTGACGTTCGACCTGCCAACTACAGTCAATTTAGCGAACTTTATAAAAAGAAGGACAGAAATTTGAAATTTATTCATTGCCTTCTTATATTTCATAGAGGTAGACGGTAGTCGTCATCTATTGGCGAGTTGAAAAAAGAACAGTTGTGATGGTGAATAATGAAGTAGATTTCTACTATATTATTAAATGATTAGTAGATTTCTATAATTTTTATTAGTAAATTTCTGTCAGTATTTTTACTAGATTTCTATTATTTTTCTTGATAGATTTGGAAATAAAATGTTTCCTATCCTTTTCTCACAACAGATGCGTCCTTCTTCAAGGTGAATTCACAGTTCACCTTAGGTGCGTTTTAATCATCCGCTTCTGCTTCGGAATTGTCGGTTTTCTTGTTTTAATCTGACAGGTTAGAACGACTGAACCGACAATTCCGGAAGCAGAAGCGGATGATTAAAACGCACCTCTTGTTCTTTGAATTTCATGTTTTGTTTTTTTTTTGTTGGTTGTTTATGTTTGGTTGTGAGGTTATGTATATTTTACCTCTTATTTTATAATTTTTGTCAATAGTTCAATAATTTAAACAGCCTCAACATGAAACAATCGTTTTAATAGTGAATTATTGAACTCTGCCGACATATTTAATTCACCTAATTTTCTACAAGGTAAGTTTTTTGTTATATTTAAAACTTGGAGGTGGTAGAATACAATCAAAAAAAGCATTCCTATGAAAATTTGGAATACACGCTATACATGTAGATCCAAATTGAAAAGATTGATTAAACATAGGTTTTATCTCTGAAATGAAGCGTTTTCAAACATGTTTATTAAACGAAAAATATTCAATTTGAAGTCCCTACCACTTTTGAAAAGTTTATTGGTATATTTATGAGACATCTTGTATCTGTGTGTATATTCCTAGTTTTTCAATAATGACTTCTTGACTCCTAAAAAACTATATTTGTTTTTTTATCAAGACCTTAGACATAAACATCAGAGATTATTACCAATGTTCCAGATAGCACAAATTCGTCTTTAAGACGCCTTGCATAAGACATTTAAGATGTCTGGTATTTTTTGAAAGACGTCTGATGTTACAAAAAGGCTTATATTGGTATATAGAGCTTAAAATAAGCCATAAATAAGATGTCTCTAAGATGACTTATTAATAGCTTATAATGGTCTTGTGTAGCCTTAAATAAGCCATAAATAAGATGTCTTATTAATAGTTTATAATGGTCTGTTTAGTCTTAAATATCATTATTTTTCTGCTAATTCTATAATCTGTCTTTAATACATCCACTGGTCATAGCAGTGTAGTGCTATATGCTCATGATAATCTAAGGCTTAAAAGAGGTAACATAAAAGAACTAATTGAGGAAAGTTTGTTTGAGTATTGTGCTGCAGAAATCAAAATAAATAGTCTGTATTAGGTAATATGTACTGTATATAAACCTTCAACAACCAAGATTCTCTACTTTATGGAAAATATGGATTAACTATTAGACAAAGCTTGTCAGAATAATAGAATAGTCTTGATTGTCGTAGATTTTAATATTGATATGTTAGATAGTTAATGCTAAAATTTGTTAGATGCTTATAATATGCAAATTAATATTACTGAACCCATGAGAATCACATCTACCTCCAGAACCTGCCTTGATAATATTTATGTACCACATTTTTTAATGTCTAATGTTAGGGTTGTAAATGCAAATAAATCTGATCATAATGCTCAATATATGTCAATAGATGGAAATAATTGTAGGCCCAAAACAGAGCATGAATATAAACATATCTTTAGAAAAAAAACTGCTAAGTTTAACTCACTATTAACATGTGAAAAGTGGCTTTTGATTTATGAATCTATTAGGTATAATATCTTTATTAATAATCTTTGTGAACTCTATAATGAGGCTTTCCAATAGGAAATAAAAAAAAAATGAATAAAACCAAGTGGAAGACCTAAAAAATAAATAAAGCTAAAAATACTCTTAAATTTTTATCAGAAATGTACTTATTAAATCAAATCTCTAAATATCAACTGAACGAATTTAAAACATATTTTACAAATTTAATACAGAATGAGAAAATACATTTTTACAATAAGAAAATCTAAACATCAGACAATAAAACGAAAACTGCTTGGAATATTGTAAACTTTGAATTGGGCCAAGCTAAAACAAAAAATAATTTTTCTGAAGGTATCAGTATTGAGGGCCAGATTGTCTCTTTGCCAACTACAGTTGGTAATATTATTTTAATGATTTCTTTGTCTCAAATTAGGTTGATGACTATCCAAGATCATTATTATTATCAGATCAAACACCAGAAGAACTAAAGAATATATTAACCACTTGAAAAATACACTCAACAGGTAATGATAAGATCAGTAGTGTGATGTTAAACTACATCAGCATCCACATAATACATCTGCTATGCTATATCCACAATGAGTCCTTTAAATCTGGTATTTTTCCAATGTGATTGAAGACTGCTATTGTAATACCTATTCACAAAAAAGGGGACCTTTCTCTAGTAGAAAATTATGGGCCAATTAGGCTTTTGTCTTGTTTTTCCAAAGTTTTTGAAATTGCTGTGTGTAACAGACTATTACCATTTTTAGAAATAAAAAATGTTATCACAACTATGCAGCATGGATTTCAAAGTGATAAGTCAACTACAACAGCAATCCTTAATTTTGTTGAGAGAATTTTACACTTTTTAGATTCTAGAAAAATTGTTCACAGAGTTTTCTTAGATTTAACCCTTACAGTGTATTTGTCCCTCCTGAGGGACACTGTCTTAAGTAACCCTGAAGTATGCATCTGTTAATTTTGGTAAAAAAAAATATTTTTTTGGGGTTTATTTACTTAAAAGATGTCAAAATTCATCTATTTAATACTGTGAAAAATGATGTCCCTGGAGAGAGATAAATCTACTTCAGTGGTCTTTTTTAATGAAAGTGGAACTGAAAGGGTCAATAAAGGCCTTTGATTGTGTAAATCGCCATATACTTCTTAATAAATTATACAAAATGGATGTTCCACAGGGAAGGGGTTTAGGTCCTATTTTACTTGTATTATATCCAAACGATTTACCAAAAATATTTATAAATGATTCTATAGCTCTCACGAATTATGCTGATGATACAAATGTCTTTTACTATCTAGAAACCATTACAAAGTACCTGAAAAAGATACCTCGAATACTCTGGGTATAATTTCAAAATGGTTTGGTGAAAAATCACTATTAATAAATTTATCTAAAACTAATTGTATACTTTTCAAGCACATGCGTAATAAAAATGAATATCCAGAGGATATTAACTTATGTTGTCAGTGTAATAATTGATGAGCATCTAACTTGGCTGGAACATCTACATTCACTTATTCACTTTGTGGAGGGCTCAGCAGAGCTTGCTTTGCGTTGAAACAAGTTAAAAAAGTCATTGATCAC